TTTTGTGATTTCCGTGACCTGCCCATTCTCCACCAGCAGCACCCGGTCAGCATCAGCGATGGCTGCAGGCCGGTGTGCCACCAGAACCACCTGATGAGGGGAGAAATGAAGGGGGGATGAGGAAGAAGTTGGAGAATGAGTTGGAGAATGATGGGGAGACTGAAGGAGTCAGCCTATCCAGCAAGGGAGAGAAGAAAACACAGTAGAAATTATATGAGAGCACACACAGAGAGATCTGTTTGTGCCCCCTGTGTAATTTTACCCAACTTTTGCGTAAGTTATTAACCTACCCCTTCTTCCCCACACCTGCGCCAGTCCCAGTCCCGCTCCCCAACTCTCCAACACAACATCTCCTCCCACACCCCTCGCCTCTCCTCAGCTCCTCTCCCCCAACCCACTCCTCCACACATGCACCGTTCGGCCAACCATGGGGCAACACAGAGTGTTGACTCCCCCCATCCACCCCTTCCCTTTCCCCTCCCCCCTTTCTCCACCACACGCGCACCGTTCAACCGACCATGAGGCGACACAGAACATTGACTTCCCCCATCTCCCACCGTCTTTTCAACCCCAACCCTCCCTCCACCCCTCCCTCCACCCCTCCCTCCACCCTTCCCTCCACCCCTCCACCCACTCCTCCTACACACACGCACCGTTCGGCCGACCATGAGGCGGCGCAGAGCGTCGCGAACGAGAGCCTCTGATTGGCTGTCCAGTGCTGACGTGGCTTCATCCAGCACGAGGATGGCAGGGTCGTTGAAGATGGCTCGGGCGATGGCCAGCCTGGCAGAAATGGTGTTGGAACAGTGTGAGGTTCGGCATTAGGTTCGGTGACAGGCTTGGTGTGAGGTTCGAGTATGGATGCACCTCACAACTGGTTTTTTGCTGGTTTTAGAGCGGAGATATACACATGGAGACAACACATGCTGACTGAGGCACCTAAAGTGCTTGAGTGAAAACACAAGGAAAGGAAGCCAAAAGAAGGAAACCGAATCCTGGACATGCTAGGCGCCTGGAAACAACGAGAAAACAAGCGACACTTTGGAACAAGAACAACTTCTGTTTCGTACCTCTGCCTCTGCCCGCCACTGAGAGACGCCCCTCGCGGGCCCAGCTGGGTGAAGTAGCCTTCGGGCAGAGCAGAAATGAATTCATGTGCGTTGGCAAGGCGGGCAGCTCGCTCCACCATTGCCAAATTTGTTGCCTTTCCGGGCAGGTTGGAAGATTCCAAAGAGAGGTATTCCAGATGCCCGTATGCAATGTTTTGCGCCACCGTGCCCGAAAAAAGAACCTGAGACAAGTCAGGAAAAGAAGTGAGAAAAGAAGTGAGAAAAGGAGGGAAGGGAGAGAAGAGAAGGGAGAGGAGAGAGGGGAGAGGAGAGAAGGGGGACGGGAGAGAAGAGAGGGCAGAGAAGAGAGGGAAGAGCAGAGTGGAGAGGGGATGTGCAGGAGCAGATAGGCCGAGAAACTTCTTTCTTATCACTTGCAGCACCCAGAAAAGAAGCCTCGTTATCTTCCTCCCCTTCCATTTGCACCGTCACTCCCAACCACCACCAAACCGGCACCCACCGTTTCCTGTGGCACGAAGCCAATCTGACGGCGCGCACTGGTTGCAGAGCACGCTGCAAGATCTCGGCCGTCCAGCAGAATGCAGCCTGCCATACAGGGTACAAGTACAAGCCAAACCAAGCAGTCTAAGATTTGTTTCGTAGAGACCAATACAAGGGTATTACAGGCCAGCAGGGGGCAGCAGGAGCCAGCAGGGGCCAGTAGAGGTCAGCAGAGGCGAGCAGTTGATAGCAGAGCATAGCAGAAGCATAAACAGGGGGAATGGACACAGCAGAGGTGGTGATGGGTTATGAAAGAGCCATGAAACTCAATTTCCCACACTCTCCCACTCTCCATCTCACCTCACCGCACTGCACCATGCCACCTCACCTGCAGTGGGGCGGTACAGCCTGATCTTGTGACCTTACCGGACCCAACCCGACCAAACCCGACTCAATCCAACCCAACCCAACCCGACCCGACCCGACCCGACCCAACCCGACCCGACCCGACCGGACCACACCTCCCCTCGGCTCTCCATGCAGCTCACCTGACCTTACACCTTCAGCATGTGACCTGACCGTACCTCACCTCACCTCACCTCACCTCACCTCACCTCACCTCACCTGCCCATGTGGCCTGACCTGCAGAGGGACGATAGAGCTTCAAGAGAAGCTTGAGCAGGGAGCTTTTGCCCCCTCCAGACGGGCCCACTACAGCCACCGTCTCGCCCCGCCTCACCCGGAACGACACGTCACACAACACACGGGACTTCAAACCTGAACCTGCTTCTGCGTCTGCTGCTGCTGCGGCTGCTGCTGGGGCTGCTGGGGCCGCTGGGATTACTGGCACTGCTGCTGCTGCAGGTAACGTGGCATCTCCTGCTACCGGTGCTTCTGATTGAGACCTGTCTTTTATCAGTGATCCCATTTCCATCGGTAAGCCATTGGCAGGGAGTTTTTGAGAATTCTCGGTAACATCGGTAAATCCCTGCAACATCGGTAAGCCATAGTCAAAACACACCCCTTGGAACTCAATGTCTCCCTCTAGCCTTCCAATGTCTTTTTCCACTTCTTGAAGGGTGGGGGAGGGGGAGGAGGAGGAGGGGGAGGGGGAGGAGGAGGAGGAGGAGGAGGAGGAGGAGGAGGAGGAGGAGGAGGAGGAGGAGGAGGAGGAGGAGGAGGAGGAGGAGGAGGAGGAGGAGGAGGAGGAGGAGGAGGAGGAGGAGGAGTGGGAAGCAGTGGAATGCGGTGGGTTCAAGCGTGTGAGGGCGAGCACGCGTTCAATGGCTGGCTGGCCCTGCTTCAGCTCGTTGAATGCAGTGCCTGCTGCCTGGGCGAGGGAGGAGAATAAGAAAGAGAATGGAAAAACGAGTAAGAGGGACAGAAAGAGTGGTGCGCAGGGGTTGAGTGGGGTAGGTACCACAAAGTGTGTCCGCACTTGTTCAATGGCTAGCCGCCCCTGCTTCAGCTCGTTGAATGCTCTGCCCGCTGCCTGAGGGAGGGAGGGAAAAAAGAATAAACGGAGTGGTGAGAGGAAGTGGACTAGGGTAGTTTGCTTGAGAGTCTCTGTCAGCCCTCGTTTCATGGCTGGCAGGCTGGGCCTGCTTCAGCTCTATCTACGAACGCACTGCCTGATTCAGCTCAATCTACGAACGCACTGCCTGCTTCAGCTCTATCTACGAACGCACTGCCTGCTTCAGCTCTATCTACGAACGCACTGCCTGCTTCAGCTCTATCTACGAACGCACTGCCTGATTCAGCTCTATCTACGAACGCGCTGCCTGCTTCAGCTCTATCTACGAACGCACTGCCTGCTTCAGCTCTATCTACGAACGCACTGCCTGCTTCCACCTCTTCATCTTCTCCCCAATTTCAGCACCCTGTCCCCAGACCAGGCCCAGGCAGGCCCTGAAAGCTCTCATTTCTCTGTACTTGAAAGTGGGTATCTCGGAACGGTCTCATTTGCACTCACCTGAATGGGTGGGGGTGAAGAAGGAGACAATCCTTATCTAAACCCTGAATGGGTGGGGATGAAGAAGGAGACAATCCTTCTCTAAACCCTGAATGGGTGGGGGTGAAGAAGGAGACAATCCTTCTCTGAACCCTGAATGGGTGGGGGTGAAGAAGGAGACAATCCTTCTCTAAACCCTGAATGGGTGGGGGTGAAGAAGGAGACAATCCTTCTCTAAACCCTGAATGGGTGGGGGTGAAGGAGACAATCCTTCTCTAAAACCTGAATGGGTCGGGGTGAAGAAGGAGACAATCCTTCTCTAAACCCTGAATGGGTGGGGGTGAAGAAGGAGACAATCCTTCTCTAAACCCTGAATGGGTGGGGGTGAAGAAGGAGACAATCCTTCTCTGAACCCTGAATGGGTGGGGGTGAAGAAGGAGACAATCCTTCTCTAAATGTCGGAGATACAGCTCTACCCTCATCATCTGCCTTAGTCCTCATGCTCTTCGTCCCTTAGCTCCTTCGGTTGCCTCAGCCACTCTCATGAAAGTGTCAGAACTCTCACCTCTAAGGTCAGAACTCTCACCTCTAAGGTCAGAACTCTCACCTCTAAGGTCAGAACTCTCACCTCTAAGGTCAGAACTCTCACCTCTAAGGTCCTCCCTGAGTGGTGTACCACCTGCCTGCTCTGGTAAGGTGACAATAGTCCACTATACGAAAGGATAACAACCAGAAAGCATCAGAGGTGTGTGTGAGAGTGAACTTACCTGACCCTGGCTCGAACCGTGCATTTCTCAATGTGCGGCTCGAGCCTGGGTTGGTTCGTTCTCATTGGTTGCAAGGTTTTCACCCAAGGTGCTCTCCTACCAACTTCGCGTCAATTTCCCAGCTCCCACCTACCTATCCTCGAATTTGCAAACACAACATAGCTACACCTCCACTACACCACCATGATTCTGGCACCTTATATGCACAACCGTGCATATTCGGTGACATCAACCCTGAATGGGTGGGGGTGAAGAAGGAGACAATCCTTCTCTAAACCCTGAATGGGTGGGGGTGAAGAAGGAGACAATCCTTCTCTAAACCCTGAATGGGTGGGGGTGAAGAAGGAGACAATCCTTCTCTAAACCCTGAATGTGTGGGGGTGAAGAAGGAGACAATCCTTCTTTAAACCTTGAATGGGTGGGGGTGAAGAAGGAGACAATCCTCCTCTAAACCCTGACTGGTGAACCCTCCCTGACCCGGTGACCCCTTCCCTATATCAGGCTCCGCACTTTCAGCCCAGAAAGTTCAGCCACTCACCCCCAGAACAGGCTCGGACTCTCTTCTTTTCACCTGAATGGGTTCGATGAGGAGAACAAGCGAGGTGAAGAAAGATACAATCCCGGCACCCGTTAGCCCGCCCGCCCGCCCTGCCCCACTGCCCACGTGGCCACTCCAAACAGCACCACCACCACCGCCGCCGCATACGCCGCTGTAATCGCCTCTGGAAACAGCGCCTTGAGAACTGCGCCACTTCGTCCCGATTTCAAATCTTCTCCCCTATTTCAGGCCCTGTGCTTTCAGCCGCGTACCTGAATGGACTCGATCAGTAGCACAAGGGATGTGAAGAAAGAGACGATCCCAGCCCCGGTAAGACCTAAACACGTCACAGCCCCGGTAAGACCTAAACACGTCCCAGCCCCGGTAAGACCTAAACACGTCCCAGCCCCGGTAAGACCTAAACACGTCCCAGCCCCGGTAAGACCTAAACACGTCCCAGCCCTGGTAAGAGACGATCCCAGCCCCAGAAACTGCCCCACGGCCCACGTGGCCACTTCAAACAGCACCACCACTGCCGCCACCGCCGCATACGCTGCCGTGATCGCCTGTGGAGGGAAACAGCGCCTTGAGAGCCTCTTCTTGCCCATCCCAGTCAATCACCCCTGTTTCAGCTCATGCTCGAGCCACACCCCGCTAGAAAAGGTTTTTGAGGCGCCTCAAAAATAGCCTCTTCTTGCCCATCCCAGTCCATCACCCCTGTTTCAGCTCATGCTCGAGCCACACCCCGCTAGAAAAGGTTTTTGAGGCGCCTCAAAAATAGCCTCTTCTTGCCCATCCCAGTCCATCACCCCTGCTTCAGCTCATGCTCGAGCCACACCCCGCTAGAAAAGGTTTTTGAGGCGCCTCAAAAATAGCCTCTTCTTGCCCATCCCAGTCCATCACCCCTGTTTCAGCTCATGCTCGAACCACACCCCGCTAGAAAGGGTTTTTGAGGCGCCTCAAAAATAGCCTCTTCTTGCCCATCCCAGTCCATCACCCCTGTTTCAGCTCATGCTCGAGCCACATCCCGCTAGAAAAGGTTTTTGAGGCGCCTCAAAAATAGCCTCTTCTTGCCCATCCCAGTCCATCACCCCTGTTTCAGCTCATGCTCGAACCACACCCCGCTAGAAAAGGTTTTTGAGGCGCCTCAAAAATAGCCTCTTCTTGCCCATCCCAGTCCATCACCCCTGTTTCAGCTCATGCTCGAGCCACACCCCGCTAGAAAAGGTTTTTGAGGCGCCTCAAAAATAGCCTCTTCTTGCCCATCCCAGTCCATCACCCCTGTTTCAGCTCATGCTCGAGCCACACCCCGCTAGAAAAGGTTTTTGAGGCGCCTCAAAAATAGCCTCTTCTTGCCCATCCCAGTCCATCACCCCTGTTTCAGCTCATGCTCGAGCCACACCCCGCTAGAAAAGGTTTTTGAGGCGCCTCAAAAAAAGCCTCTTCTTGCCCATCCCAGTCCATCACCCCTGTTTCAGCTCATGCTCGAGCCAAACCCCGCTAGACAAGGTTTTTGAGGCGCCTCAAAAATAGCCTCTTCTTGCCCATCCCAGTCCATCACCCCTGTTTCAACTCATGCTCGAGCCAAACCCCGCTAGAAAAGGTTTTTGAGGCGCCTCAAAAATAGCCTCTTCTTGCCCATCCCAGTCCATCTGCCCTGTTTCAGCTCATGCTCGAACCACACCCCGCTAGAAAAGGTTTTTGAGGCGCCTCAAAAATAGCCTCTTCTTGCCCATCCCAGTCCATCACCCCTGTTTCAGCTCATGCTCGAGCCACACCCCGCTAGAAAAGGTTTTTGAGGCGCCTCAAAAATAGCCTCTTCTTGCCCATCCCAGTCCATCACCCCTGTTTCAGCTCATGCTCGAGCCACACCCCGCTAGAAAAGGTTTTTGAGGGGCCTCAAAAATAGCCTCTTCTTGCCCATCCCAGTCCATCACCCCTGTTTCAGCTCATGCTCGAGCCACACCCCGCTAGAAAAGGTTTTTGAGGCGCCTCAAAAATAGCCTCTTCTTGCCCATCCCAGTCCATCACCCCTGTTTCAGCTCATGCTCGAGCCACACCCTGCTAGAAAAGGTTTTTGAGGCGCCTCAAAAATAGCCTCTTCTTGCCCATCCCAGTCCATCACCCCTGTTTCAGCTCATGCTCGAGCCACACCCCGCTAGAAAAGGTTTTTGAGGCGCCTCAAAAATAGCCTCTTCTTGCCCATCCCAGTCCATCACCCCTGTTTCAGCTCATGCTCGAGCCACACCCCGCTAGAAAAGGTTTTTGAGGCGCCTCAAAAATAGCCTCTTCTTGCCCATCCCAGTCCATCACCCCTGTTTCAGCTCATGCTCGAGCCACACCCCGCTAGAAAAGGTTTTTGAGGCGCCTCAAAAATAGCCTCTTCTTGCCCATCCCAGTCCATCACCCCTGTTTCAGCTCATGCTCGAGCCACACCGCGCTAGAAAAGGTTTTTGAGGCGCCTCAAAAATAGCCTCTTCTTGCCCATCCCAGTCCATCACCCCTGTTTCAGCTCATGCTCGAGCCACACCCCGCTAGAAAAGGTTTTTGAGGCGCCTCAAAAATAGCCTCTTCTTGCCCATCCCAGTCCATCACCCCTGTTTCAGCTCATGCTCGAGCCACACCCCGCTAGAAAAGGTTTTTGAGGCGCCTCAAAAATAGCCTCTTCTTGCCCATCCCAGTCCATCACCCCTGTTTCAGCTCATGCTCGAACCACACCCCGCTAGAAAAGGTTTTTGAGGCGCCTCAAAAATAGCCTCTTCTTGCCCATCCCAGTCCATCACCCCTGTTTCAGCTCATGCTCGAGCCACACCCCGCTAGAAAAGGTTTTTGAGGCGCCTCAAAAATAGCCTCTTCTTGCCCATCCCAGTCCATCACCCCTGTTTCAGCTCATGCTCGAGCCACACCCCGCTAGAAAAGGTTTTTGAGGCGCCTCAAAAATAGCCTCTTCTTGCCCATCCCAGTCCATCACCCCTGTTTCAGCTCATGCTCGAGCCACACCCCGCTAGAAAAGGTTTTTGAGGCGCCTCAAAAATAGCCTCTTCTTGCCCATCCCAGTCCATCACCCCTGCTTCAGCTCATGCTCGAGCCACACCCCGCTAGAAAAGGTTTTTGAGGCGCCTCAAAAATAGCCTCTTCTTGCCCATCCCAGTCCATCACCCCTGTTTCAGCTCATGCTCGAACCACACCCCGCTAGAAAAGGTTTTTGAGGCGCCTCAAAAATAGCCTCTTCTTGCCCATCCCAGTCCATCACCCCTGTTTCAGCTCATGCTCGAGCCACATCCCGCTAGAAAAGGTTTTTGAGGCGCCTCAAAAATAGCCTCTTCTTGCCCATCCCAGTCCATCACCCCTGTTTCAGCTCATGCTCGAACCACACCCCGCTAGAAAAGGTTTTTGAGGCGCCTCAAAAATAGCCTCTTCTTGCCCATCCCAGTCCATCACCCCTGTTTCAGCTCATGCTCGAGCCACACCCCGCTAGAAAAGGTTTTTGAGGCGCCTCAAAAATAGCCTCTTCTTGCCCATCCCAGTCCATCACCCCTGTTTCAGCTCATGCTCGAGCCACACCCCGCTAGAAAAGGTTTTTGAGGCGCCTCAAAAATAGCCTCTTCTTGCCCATCCCAGTCCATCACCCCTGTTTCAGCTCATGCTCGAGCCACACCCCGCTAGAAAAGGTTTTTGAGGCGCCTCAAAAAAAGCCTCTTCTTGCCCATCCCAGTCCATCACCCCTGTTTCAGCTCATGCTCGAGCCAAACCCCGCTAGAAAAGGTTTTTGAGGCGCCTCAAAAATAGCCTCTTCTTGCCCATCCCAGTCCATCACCCCTGTTTCAACTCATGCTCGAGCCAAACCCCGCTAGAAAAGGTTTTTGAGGCGCCTCAAGAATAGCCTCTTCTTGCCCATCCCAGTCCATCTGCCCTGTTTCAGCTCATGCTCGAACCACACCCCGCTAGAAAAGGTTTTTGAGGCGCCTCAAAAATAGCCTCTTCTTGCCCATCCCAGTCCATCACCCCTGTTTCAGCTCATGCTCGAGCCACACCCCGCTAGAAAAGGTTTTTGAGGCGCCTCAAAAATAGCCTCTTCTTGCCCATCCCAGTCCATCACCCCTGTTTCAGCTCATGCTCGAGCCACACCCCGCTAGAAAAGGTTTTTGAGGCGCCTCAAAAATAGCCTCTTCTTGCCCATCCCAGTCCATCACCCCTGTTTCAGCTCATGCTCGAGCCACACCCCGCTAGAAAAGGTTTTTGAGGCGCCTCAAAAATAGCCTCTTCTTGCCCATCCCAGTCCATCACCCCTGTTTCAGCTCATGCTCGAGCCACACCCCGCTAGAAAAGGTTTTTGAGGCGCCTCAAAAATAGCCTCTTCTTGCCCATCCCAGTCCATCACCCCTGTTTCAGCTCATGCTCGAGCCACACCCCGCTAGAAAAGGTTTTTGAGGCGCCTCAAAAATAGCCTCTTCTTGCCCATCCCAGTCCATCACCCCTGTTTCAGCTCATGCTCGAGCCACACCCCGCTAGAAAAGGTTTTTGAGGCGCCTCAAAAATAGCCTCTTCTTGCCCATCCCAGTCCATCACCCCTGTTTCAGCTCATGCTCGAGCCACACCCCGCTAGAAAAGGTTTTTGAGGCGCCTCAAAAATAGCCTCTTCTTGCCCATCCCAGTCCATCACCCCTGTTTCAGCTCATGCTCGAGCCACACCCCGCTAGAAAAGGTTTTTGAGGCGCCTCAAAAATAGCCTCTTCTTGCCCATCCCAGTCCATCACCCCTGTTTCAGCTCATGCTCGAGCCACACCCCGCTAGAAAAGGTTTTTGAGGCGCCTCAAAAATAGCCTCTTCTTGCCCATCCCAGTCCATCACCCCTGTTTCAGCTCATGCTCGAGCCACACCCCGCTAGAAAAGGTTTTTGAGGCGCCTCAAAAATAGCCTCTTCTTGCCCATCCCAGTCCATCACCCCTGTTTCAGCTCATGCTCGAACCACACCCCGCTAGAAAAGGTTTTTGAGGCGCCTCAAAAATAGCCTCTTCTTGCCCATCCCAGTCCATCACCCCTGTTTCAGCTCATGCTCGAGCCACACCCCGCTAGAAAAGGTTTTTGAGGCGCCTCAAAAATAGCCTCTTCTTGCCCATCCCAGTCCATCACCCCTGTTTCAGCTCATGCTCGAGCCACACCCCGCTAGAAAAGGTTTTTAAGGCGCCTCAAAACTAGCCTCTTCTTGCCCATCCCAGTCCATCACCCCTGTTTCAGCTCATGCTCGAGCCACACCCCGCTAGAAAAGGTTTTTGAGGCGCCTCAAAAATAGCCTCTTCTTGCCCATCCCAGTCCATCACCCCTGTTTCAGCTCATGCTCGAGCCACACCCCGCTAGAAAAGGTTTTTGAGGCGCCTCAAAAATAGCCTCTTCTTGCCCATCCCAGTCCATCACCCCTGTTTCAGCTCATGCTCGAGCCACACCCCGCTAGAAAAGGTTTTTGAGGCGCCTCAAAAATAGCCTCTTCTTGCCCATCCCAGTCCATCACCCCTGTTTCAGCTCATGCTCGAACCACACCCTGCTAGAAAAGGTTTTTGAGGCGCCTCAAAAATAGCCTCTTCTTGCCCATCCCAGTCCATCACCCCTGTTTCAGCTCATGCTCGAGCCACACCCCGCTAGAAAAGGTTTTTGAGGCGCCTCAAAAATAGCCTCTTCTTGCCCATCCCAGTCCATCTGCCCTGTTTCAGCTCATGCTCGAACCACACCCCGCTAGAAAAGGTTTTTGAGGCGCCTCAAAAATAGCCTCTTCTTGCCCATCCCAGTCCATCACCCCTGTTTCAGCTCATGCTCGAGCCACACCCCGCTAGAAAAGGTTTTTGAGGCGCCTCAAAAATAGCCTCTTCTTGCCCATCCCAGTCCATCTGCCCTGTTTCAGCTCATGCTCGAACCACACCCCGCTAGAAAAGGTTTTTGAGGCGCCTCAAAAATAGCCTCTTCTTGCCCATCCCAGTCCATCACCCCTGTTTCAGCTCATGCTCGAGCCACACCCCGCTAGAAAAGGTTTTTGAGGCGCCTCAAAAATAGCCTCTTCTTGCCCATCCCAGTCCATCACCCCTGTTTCAGCTCATGCTCGAGCCACACCCCGCTAGAAAAGGTTTTTGAGGCGCCTCAAAAATAGCCTCTTCTTGCCCATCCCAGTCCATCACCCCTGTTTCAGCTCATGCTCGAGCCACACCCCGCTAGAAAAGGTTTTTGAGGCGCCTCAAAAATAGCCTCTTCTTGCCCATCCCAGTCCATCACCCCTGTTTCAGCTCATGCTCGAGCCACACCCCGCTAGAAAAGGTTTTTGAGGCGCCTCAAAAATAGCCTCTTCTTGCCCATCCCAGTCCATCACCCCTGTTTCAGCTCATGCTTGAGCCACACCCCACTAGAAAAGGCTCAGGTAAATAAACCCTACACACTCTCTTCTACCTCACCTGAATGGGTTCGATGAGAAGAACAAGCGACGTGAAGAAGGAGACGATCCCGGCACCCGTTAGCCCACCCTGCCCCACTGCCCACGTGGCCACTCCAAACAGCACCACCACTGCCGCCGCATACGCCGCCGTGATCGCCTCGGGAAACAGCGCTTTCAGCCGCTTCTTTCGCAGCCGGGCGGACCTATCAGCTTCCGCCAGGTGGTGGAACAGGAGCGCCTCGTAGGGCTCGGCTGCGTGTGCCTTGACGAGCAGCATGGCTGGGAGGACCTCGGTGATCCGCGCTGAGAGGGCCGCGATGGACGCCTGCGCTTCTGAGGAGACAGAGCGAACTCTCTCCCCGAGTGTGGCAATGATGACTGACATGAGTGGGACCACCTGATGGGAGGGGTATGGAAGGGGGTCACAGAGACGAGCAGCATGGCCGGGAGGACCTCGGTGATCCACGCTGAGAGGGCCGCCACAGAGGCCTGGGCTTCTGAGGAGACGCGGCGAACCCTCTCGCCGAGCGTGGTGATGATGACTGACATGAGTGGGACGACCTGGTGTGAGGTTGGTGGGAGGGAAGAGAGGGAGGAAGAAGGAAGATCATTGCCACTGCTGTTTTGGAGTCACTTTTCAGAACTCTCAAAAGTGTTGCTGCTGCTGTTGCCACTGCTACTATCAATGCTACTACCACTGGCCCACATCACCAAATCCTACTGCTACTACTGTTACCACTGATACACTCCACGTCACCAAATGTTACTGTCACTGCTGTAATCTCTGGACCGCGTGTCACCCACTCACACAAAGGGTCGCCAGCGTCATCACTGGGCTGAGCTGAACCATCCGCGTCAGCATGACTGCCACCTGGCAGACAGCTGGCACCGCCGCCTTGAGCACAGCAAACACCACCTCGCCCACCTCCCTCGCTTCTGCCGTCAACCTATACACCAGGTCCCCTGTTGCTACAGCCGATGGTGCTGTCGCTACTGCATCTCCTGGCACTGCTGCAGCCTCTCCTGTTGCACCTATTTCCGCCTCTTTATCCGCCTCCCTTCCCCCTCCTCTTCCCTTCCCACCTGCGCCCCCTCCTCCTCGCCCTCCTTCTCCCCCTCCGACCCGCCCACCTCCGCGCCCTTCAAAGAACCCCAGGTCCGCCCCCAGCAGGTGGTGCCACGCCTGGGAGCGAACGGCCAGAGTGACGCCGCTCGCTGCCTCCCACAGCCATGCGTCCTGCCAGTATGTCGCTGCTGACCGGGCTGCTACGAGTGCCAGCACCACACCTGTCGCACGGAAGAGCGCCTTAAGGTCGCCTGGTGGGTGGGGAGGGAGGACGGGGGAGATGTGGATGGAGGAGGGGGGTGTTGTGCGCAGCCGCCTCCCACAGCCACGCGTCCTGCCAGTACGTCGCTGCCGACTGGGCTGCTAACAGTAGCAGCGCGACACCTGTCGCATGGAAGAGCGCGCGGAGATCGCCTGGGGAATGGGGGGAAGAGGGGAGGGTAGCGGGAAGAACGAAGAAGGAAGGGGAAGTGAGGGCTGTGACGTTGCTGCAAGGATGAATGTGGGTGACCCGCTATAAGAGTGAATGCAGGTGACTCCTATAACTGTAAATGCAGGTGAACACCTACAAACATAATCACATCGAAAAAATACATTGAAAGATCATTTGGGAATTTAATTGGAAATCACCTTGGGGAATTAGATCGGAAATTCACCTGGGTAAATCACCTCAGTAAATCACCTTGGGCAAGGAGGGTGGTGAGTGCGCAGAAGCGGGGGGTGAAGAGGAGCAGAGAGGTGAGTGCGACGGCGGTGGCACAGCCACGCCTTCTGAGGCACCTCAGAAGCCACCTCGGGAATTCACCTGAATAAAGTACCTTGGAAAATCATCTGGGTGGATTCCTTAGAAAATCACATGGGGTCACCTTGGGAATTCACCTTGAGCGAGGAGGGTGGTGAGCGCGCCGAAGCGGGGGATGAAGAGCAGCAGCGAGGTGAGTGCGACGGCGGTGCAGAGCCACGCACGGAGGACGAGAGGGAGGAAGGGGCGCAGGAAAGGAAGCAGGCCCATAAGGGGATGCTGGTGGGGGTGTTGGTGGTGCTGCTGCTGGTGTTGGTGGTGTTGCTGGTGGTGCTGCTGCTTCTGCTGCTTCTCGCCACTCCGCGTACCAGGTTCCGTTGCCGGTGCTACATCTCCGTCCTCGCTAAGTGACGATTCGTTACCAGAGCGACCATCGAACGAACTGGCTGCTCGTAACCTCGCAGAGTGTAACGACGCGTGTCTGATCGCATCTCCGCCGTCTGTCGTCCCCGTGAAAGTGCGAGACGCCCCCAATTCGGGTCGTCCCCATGACCCGTAAATGGAAACTCCTCCGGTCCTCGTCCCCGTTAAACAGGATTTGATATAAGACCGAAAATCCGAACGACTACTTCTATGGATAATACCATCTGAAGATGCTATCCTGGAATGCGCTTTCCAGTTTCGCTTGGTTTGCGAATATCTACAAATGGATGAACTGGAATTACACCAGGTAACAGGAGGCTGCCGCTGCGACATCAGCAAGTCTGTTCGCGAAGGAAAGCTTCGCCGAATTCGCCTAGAATGCTCTTCATCAGGACGTCCTAATGCCGTCGGGCCGTCACGGAACACCGTCACGCAGCCGCTAGTGCTAGCGGTTCCGGCGCGACTATGATTGAGCCTAGCGCAACTAAACCCGATTGTTAAGCGCTGACTTGAGATAAGCTCGGAGGCCATGCCTGGCTCGTAAACGCAAGCTTGTGTGTCTGGTGAGGTGGTGAAGGTATGACGACATGCATTGCTCTGTGCTCGTATCTCCTGAAGTCCGGAACGCGACCCTCGCTTGACAGGAAACAATGGCGGGAAAACGCAAAAACCTGACATACTCGCTGCTGCAGGTCCCAGTGTGTACAAAGTATAATTTCAAGCGCGCGCCAGTTACACAATGGATTTATATGCCATTTTAATCCATAGTGCTTACCTTACACCAATCCTGTTCCATTACCATCACCACCATGAACAAAAAACTACAAAATCATATTGGCGCTACCAGGCCACTCTCTGGAGGCTAGGGCTTGTAACACCGCTGCTGCTGTCCATTGTTTTGCCGCCTTTTTCGAGGGCATTGATCTACCTTCGACATGAACCACTGTCGAACCATCACTTGCTTCAACCACACAATCCATGCAAAAGCTGCAATGTCAAAATAAATAAATAACAAGAATTAAGGAGGATAAGAAAACTCAGTAATTGGAAAACTAAGAGATACTGTGAACCCACTACAAGGTGGCTAAGGCATGAGAAGTTACATACCTGGGAGCGCCTGTGATCCCACCAGCAGGTTGACAGCTGGCACCACCAGCCGCCTCCCCACCACCACAAGCAGCAAGGCTGGTAGAGCCACCAACGGTGGAATCACCACCGTTGATAACACAACCATCGGCAGATCCACCACCGTCCACTGGGACGTCCCCCACAACTGTGTCAGCAGCAGCAGGGGCATTCCCAGTAGTGCCCCCACCTTGTGCCAATCCGTTACTGCCTAAGGCAGCCTCGGTGTGAGCAGTTGGAGATATGATTCTCTCACTGTACACTGCCGTCCATCGCCGCGCCATGCACGTGTGATTCAGGGCAGATATAGCCGCCGGACCTGGCTCACAGCCTCGGGGTCCAACCAAGGCGTCTGGAGCAGCCGAACCTACTGTAATCTCCCTTCCCAGTGCTGCATCGTCTCCGCTTGCTGCTACGAGTGCAGCTTCTGCTGCTGCCAACCCTTTTCCAGACTTCCCCCGCTTCCTCTTCTTCCCTCCAGCCTTCTTCTGCCCACCATTACTACAATCACTATTTCCTCCAATCATCAAGCCACCCTCAGGCTGAACTACCTCCATCCCTGCTGCGCCTTCTCCTCCTCCTGCCTCCTTCCCCACTTCCCCCTCCTTCCCTCCCCCCTCGCCTTCCTCTGCCTGCATCTCCCATGTGGCCCTCATGGCCCCCAGCACGCACATCCCCTCTGCCTCCTGGAACAGCTGCCTGAAGCCCTGCACAGTCTGGGGAGGGGGTGAGGGGGAGGGAGAGGGGAGAGGGGAGAGGGTAGGCAGAGAGACATGGGAAGAGCAGTGAGTTCGAAGGGCCTCACAGCCCCCAGCAGTCCGTCCGCATAGTCACACCCTCTCCGCCTCCTGGTACAGTCACACTCACATCTCCAGCAGCTATTCCGCTGCTCATGTATAGTCACACTCACAGCTCACTTCTTCACATTCCCAGACAGCATTACGATCACCTCGGTGCATCAGACTCGCCTTCGCTGTTGAGTCGACTCAAAAGCGATCACCTCGGAGCATCGAACTCACCTTCACCTTCTGAGCAGTCTCAACATTCCACTGCCCATATGAACTCCCACCTCGTTGATCTCACAGCATTAAAAATCACATTACTGCATGCATCCCACTCACTCACCTTGGCCCTCTTCAGCACGCCACAAGCTGCTTCCACCGTTGCTGTTACGTCATCCACCCCCCACCCCTCCCTCCCAACCACTCCTCTCTCCTCTACTTCCATCACCACCCCCTCCTCCCCCTCCCCCTCACTGCCACGCGCTTTTCAATTCAATCACACCATTAGACTCACCTTGGCCGTCTTCAGCACGCCACCAGCTGCTTCCACCGTTGCTGCAACATCATCTACCCCCCACCCCTCCCCCAGCACCACTCCCCTCACCTCCACTTCCATTACCACCCCCTCCTCCTCTCCCGCCCCTCCTCCGCCTCCTCTTCCCCCCACGTCCTTTTCACACAGCCCATTTTCCACTCCCTCCTCCCCCTCCTCCCCCTTCTCCCCCTCCTCCCCCTTCTCCCCTCCTCTCCTCCCAACACTGCTCCCACACACCATCCCTCCGTCCCTCCCACTCTCCTCGTCCTTCCACGCCCCAGCCCCTTCCCCTTCCCCTTCCCCTTCCTCCCCTTTTCCCCACTCCCCCCCACACTCCTCCCCCCACCTCTCCCCCCAGTTTCCCCCCCACTGCTCCCCCCCTCCCTCGCCCCCCTGCGCCCTGGGCAGGTAGATGGGGGCGGGGAGGGCGAGGGCGCAGCAGAAGAGGAGCAGGGCGGAGGGCGGGTGGAGGGAGAGGGGATGCAGCAGGGGGATGGGGCAGAGCCAAGAGGAAACCACGTGCCACGTGCGGGCGAGAGGGCATTGGGGATGGAGAGGGGGAGGTGCAAGGGGGTTGAGTGCGGTGAGAGAGCTGTTTGCAGGAGTGGAGTCGAGGAAGACAGCTGCTGTGAGGGCCTTGATGAGATCAGAGACGTCCTGATGGGGGGGAGAACGGACGGGAGAGAAGAAGGGAGAGAAGAGCCGAGAGAGGAAAGCGGAGAGATAAAAGTATAGATGAAGGGAGTTGTACGGAAAGAGGGAGTGAAGACTGCTGCGGTGAGGGCCTTGATGAGATCAGAGACGTCCTGATGGGGGGGAGGAAGGGGGGGACGAGGAGGGGGGCAAGGAGGGGAGAAGGGAAGAGGGAAAGCAAGTAGAGGAAGGAAATCAAAATGGTGAAATGAGGCAGCTTATGGTATTACAGACAGTTCCGAAACCATTTTAGGGTTACATGTGGTTACACGACATGGTCATATGGTTATAGGCTTATAGCGCACGTGGCTACACTACATGGTTACACGGTTATATGGTTACAGAGTTATAGGGTTACTTAGTGGGAAGAAGTTACTTTGGGAAACGGCTTCTGCCCTCCATCATCCTCGTCATCTTTCTCGTCAACCTCCATGCCCTCCCAATGACTTCTTACGCCATCCAGGCGAATGTTAGCGGGAGCAGAGCCGATGGGAGCAGGATTTAATGAAGTAGAACCCAGGTGAGTGGAGTCCGTGTGAGCAGGATTCATGTGACTGGAACCACTGGCATCTACCCTTTCATTCGTCCCCTCCTCTATCCTCTGCCCCACCCCCCCAACCTCCTCAACACTCCTCTCCTGTGCAGCCGTTTCAGCCAATTCAGCAGCATCAGCAGCAGCCGTAGTAACAGCTGCCCTATCTGCAGCAGCCCTATCAGCAGCAGCCTTTGCCGCCCGCTGTATCTTGCACACCGATCGCAGCAGCCCACGGCACGCTGCCAGCTGGCAGAACCGCTCCGAGTGGATCACAGCCTTGCGCAGGTTCGTCAGCTGGTGCGGGGACGGCCGGGCGGCGTGCGATGACGTGGCAGCGTGCGATGACATGGCACCTGATGACATGGCACGTGGTGACGAGGCAGCAGGAGAATGGGCCGCCCCAGATGTTGCTTGCACCATGTGGTGCATGACTAGAAAGTCCAGCACAGCTTCCCCCAGAAACACAAACCGCCTCTGCCACTTCAACTCCCCCTCGCTTATCGCCTCCCTCAGTATCCCCTCATTTCTGAATCGATACCCCATCGCACCTTCCAGCTCTGACAGCCTATCAGGTGTTGCCACGTGGCGTTTGCAGTTCGTTCTGGTAACAGAAGGTTTCAGGAAGCCGGGCTGGCGTATCGGCTGACCTGACGGTGCGTTGTCGGATGGAGGTGAGATAGGTGGGAGAGATTGCTGCTGACAGAGAGAGACAGGCAATGAGGATTCTGAAACCAGCACGCCCTGCCGCTGCTCATGCAGCTTGGTGCGCTTCTCTGGTGGCTGAAATGGCAGCAGGGGCGCCTCTCCAGGTGATTCCAGAGCGTGCTTCCTGCCACTCACCCTTTGCTCTGACTCTCGTGCTGCCGCCACTTTTTCTGCCACTGCTGCTGTTCCCTCTTCTTCTTCTTCTTCTTCTGCTGCTGCTGCTGCTCCTTTCGTTTCTAGTGCCATATCTGGCTTTCCTACAACGCCTGGTACTCCTTCCTCTGCCACTCCCTTGATGCATCCCTCCACCACGTCCTCCCCCTTTCCCATCACCATTCCCTCCGCCGCTCTCCCCCTCCACGTCATCTCTCCCCTCAATAGCTCCCCCACGCCCTCCGTGGGCAGGCCCAGCCACCTCAGCATCGGCAGCGCCATTTCAGCGCCGCCGCACCGCCAGCTGGCGCCCACCAAGGCCTCCGCCACGTCAGCGAGGGTTTTCTTGCCGAGCTGGCGCGCTGACTTGGCCGTGGCTGCTGCCTGCGCTAATGCCAGCGAGGCGAAGGCAGAGTCCAAAAGGGCTTTCGGGCTAGGCGGAAGGTTCTGGGGAGCTGCAGTAGCCCGAGAGGGGGACGAAGGAGGAGATGCTGTTGCTATTGACTGAGTGTGTGCGAGGGAGTCTGAAAACGAGTGTGGTGGGGGGAGTGAGTGAGAAAGGGAGTCAGCCAGAAGCAGCACAGCGTGGGAGGGTGGGATGAGAGGGCCGATCCAGTCAGAGGGTCTGAATGGCTTGCTGCGGACGAGGGCAGGCACTCCGGCTTTAACTGCCAGCGCTGCCAGATGCTTGTTGGATACCAGCTTCACGCACTGCCCCTTCATGTCATCGTATGTCGGCTGGGTAGGCTGGCTGTGCAGCGCATGCGATGGCATCGAGGCATTTCTCGCAGTGTATGCTGCTGAGTCGTCGTTCCCATTACTCTGGCCATTCCCATGCCTGCCATGCGGCGGCTGACGTGGCAAGCTAGTGGCAGAAAGGTGGCAGGAGGCGGCTAGCTGCACGCAGCTGTCTCCCAGCACCTCGTCTGACTCATAGGTGCCCACACCGCTCTCTGTTGTGCCGGGGCAGGTGAGGGCGCGCAGGAGCTGAGGTGTGGGGCCGAAAGGAAGGGAGGGAAGATGCATTGGCGGGTGAATGGGGTTGGGAGGGAGCGAGCGGCGAGCTGCACACAGCTGTCACCCAGCACTTTGTCACTCTCGTATGTGCCCACACCGCTCTCCGTGGTGCCGGGGCATGTCAGGGCGCGCAGCAGCTGAAGACAGGGGTGGGAGAGGGTGGGGTGTCGGTGGATGGAGAGGGGTGTTTGAGTTGAGAGGCACTGAGCTGCACGCAGCTGTCACCCGGCACTGCGTCACTCTCGTACATGCCTACGCCGCTCTCTGTTGTGCCGGGGCATGTCTGGGCGCGCAGCAGCTGAGAGGGGAATGGGGTACAGGGTGCGGTGTGAGTGGGTGGACAATGGTGGTTGAGAGGCATTGACGGCAGCACTCAGCTGCACGCAGCTGTCACCCAGCACGCACTCTCACACGTCAGTCCCAACGCCTTTTGAGGCGCCTCAAAAGTCGTTTCATTACCCGCAATTCTTATATTGATCGAATTTTTGTTGGTTGGAAGTGTGCACGAAATGTGCAACAGTGCCTGGTTCGCGCGAGGCTCCTACACCACCCAACTCCAAGACTGCCGAAGAGGCATTGACGGCAGCACTCAGCTGCACGCAGCTGTCACCCAGCACGCACTCTCACACGTCCCAACGCCGCTCTCCGTAGTGCCGGGGCAGGTGAGGGTGCGCAGCAGCTGAGACAGGCGGAAGAGGGGCGGGGGGGTGCAGTGCAGTGCAGTGCAGCGCAGTGCAGTGCAGTGCAGTGCAGTACAGTGCAGTGCAGTGCAGCGCAGCGCAGTAGCTGAGACAGGGGGAAGATGGGCGGGGGGGTGCAGTGCAGTGCAGTGCAGTGGTGCGACTCACATCAATAGCAGGAAAATGCGGTTCCTGCTGCTGCTGACCCTCCCTGTGCTCGCCACCACCACAGCTCCGACCCTGCCGCTCACACCCATACTGCCGCACAATGAACCGCCGGATGTCCCGGGCAGTGAGCAGGCAGTCAAGCCGGGAGAGCAGCGAGGGGAGCAGCGAGGCAAAGAGCACGTGCTGCAGTGGCAGCACCGGCACCAGTAGCTCCAATGGGAGGTACGATGTTTGCCGCCCCCTGCCCTTCTCCCTGCCCTGCTGCTGCGCCTTAGCTGCCTCCTCCTCCCCCGTGCCTTGTTGCTGCTGCTGCTCTTTCTCTGCTGTAGTATTGTCTATTGCAACCGAGTTTGCTGCAGCCGTGTCTGCTACAGCCTCAACTTCTGCAGCCTCATTAGCCAGAGCCTTGTCTGCTACAAAAGTGTCTGCTCCAACCGTCTCTTCTCCAGCCTTGCCCACTACAGCCATGTCAGCTACAGCCATGTCAGCTACAGCCATGTCAGCTACAGCCATGTCAGCTACAGCCATGTCTGCTGCAGCCATGTCAGCTACAGCCATGTCAGCTACAGCCATGTCTGCTACAGCCATGTCTGCTACAGCCATGTCTGCTACAGCCATGTCTGCTACAGCCATGTCAGCTACAGCCATGTCAGCTACAGCCATGTCAGCTACAGCCATGTCTGCTACAGCCATGTCTGCTACAGCCATGTCTGCTACAGCCATGTCTGCTACAGCCATGTCAGCTACAGCCGTCCCCTCTGTAGCGCTGGCAGGTTCGGACATCTGCCCGTCTCGACTGAATTGGACGGCCCTGTTGACGAGGTCCCAAGTGTCCACTGAGGTGGGGGAAAGGGAAGCGGGTGATGTAAGGGAAAGGAAGGTGGGACGATGGAAAGGAGGGTGGGACGATGGAAAGGAGGGTGGGACGATGGAAAGGAGGGTGGGACGATGGAAAGGAGGGTGGGACGATGGAAAGGAGGGTTGGACGATGGAAAGGAGGGTGAGACGATGGAAAGGAGGGTGGGACGATGGAAAGGAGGGTGAGACGATGGAAAGGAGGGTGGGACGATGGAAAGGAGGGTGGGACGATGGAAAGGAGGGTGGGACGATGGAAAGGAGGGTGGGACGATGGAAAGGAGGGTGGGACGATGGAAAGGAGGGTGGGACGATGGAAAGGAGGGTGGGACGATGGAAAGGAGGGTGGGACGATGGAAAGGAGGGTGAGACGATGGAAAGGAGGGTGGGACGATGGAAAGGAGGGTGGGACGATGGAAAGGAGGGTGGGACGATGGAAAGGAGGGTAGGAAGATGGAAAGGAGGGTGGGACGATGGAAAGGAGGGTGGGACGATGGAAAGGAGGGTTGGACGATGGAAAGGAGGGTGGGACGATGGAAAGGAGGGTGGGACGATGGAAAGGAGGGTGGGACGATGGAAAGGAGGGTGGGACGATGGAAAGGAGGGTGGGACGATGGAAAGGAGGGTGGGACGATGGAAAGGAGGGTGGGACGATGGAAAGGAGGGTGGGACGATGGAAAGGAGGGTGGGACGATGGAAAGGAGGGTGGGACGATGGAAAGGAGGGTGGGACGATGGAAAGGAGGGTGGGACGATGGAAAGGAGGGTGGGACGATGGAAAGGAGGGTGGGACGATGGAAAGGAGGGTGGGACGATGGAAAGGAGGGTGGGACGATGGAAAGGAGGGTTGGACGATGGAAAGGAGGGTGGGACGATGGAAAGGAGATGAGCGGCGAAGGGCGAAGTGCCTCGAAAGTCGTGAGACCGCCCTAATTGGACAGCCCTGTTGACGCGATCTAGAGTGTCCACTACCTATGGAAGAACATGCAAGCACGGACAGGACGACTGGTACACATATAGACCGGCTTAAGGAGGGTGAGAAACTCCTCCTGGTGCAGACACAGGAGGGTGAGAAACTCCTCCTGGTGCAGACACAGGAGGGTGAGAAACTCCTCCTGGTGCAGACACAGGAGGGTGAGAAACTCCTCCTGGTGCAGACACAGGAGGGTGAGAAACTCCTCCTGGTGCAGACACAGGAGGGTGAGAAACTCCTCCTGGTGCAGATACAGGAGGGTGAGAAACTCCTCCTGGTGCAGACACAGGAGGGTGAGAAACTCCTCCTGGTGCAGACACAGGAGGGTGAGAAACTCCTCCTGGTGCAGACACAGGAGGGTGAGAAACTCCTCCTGGTGCAGACACAGGAGAGTGAAACTTACACTCTGGTGGTGTCTGCAGCAGCAGCAGCGCATTGCGCAGGTCTGGCTTCAGCTGACAGGCAGCGAACAGGGGCTGATTGGGGTGCTGCAGCGATATGCCGTACCTGGAAAGGGGGTACGGGACGGGGTGACTCTTAGGGTTAGTTGAGTCGGAACTCAGGACCTTGGCATCCCACCCAAGGCTTCCTTTTGGTATACAATTGTGGTGTTTGTGAACTTAAGTCTTGCATCGCAGTTCGTGCCTGCAGCATGGATCGGGACAGCAAAGAAATACACGGCACCTGGCCAAGCCAACGCTTGGGTGCACTTGCCAGTTGCTGATTGGGCAATGAGAGATGATAGAGGGGCATGCAAGGCATGATCGAGGGATGGGACGAACGTGCACTCACTGGTTATGGAAGTACTGTTGGAACGTGCCTCCATGCGACCCCACAAACTCACTGTGCGCTGTTCTCCCCTCAGGGTCCCTCCCCACTAGCTGGTACAGCTAACGCACATGCACCCGCCACTCCCTCACTCGCATACCCACCATGCCATACCATGCCACGCCATGCAAAGCTGACACCCAGGAGGACACCATGCACGCGCTGGTTAATCACTGACTCTGACGCTCGCTCCTTAAGGATATGAAAGAATCGCACTCACTGGTTGTGGAAGTACTGTTGGAAAGTGCCTCCATGCGGCCCCACGAAATCACTGCGTGCTGTCCTCCCTTCCGGATCCCTCCCCACTAACTGGTACACCAGACGCGAATGCACCGCACATGCCACCATGCCGTGCAGTTCTCGTTCCTCCACAGGCCCACGAGCACAGACGAGCAGAGGCATGGTAGCAGGGGCATCCTGAGCGGTGCCTGGAACAGCAGCATTGGTATCAGCAGCAGCGGCATTGGTATCAGCAGCAGCGGCATTGGTATCAGCAGCAGTAGCATTGGTATCAGCGGCAGCAGCACTAGTGTCGGCAGCAGCAGCAGCAGCAGCAGCAGCAGCAGCAGCAGCAGCAGCAGCAGCAGCAGCAGCAGCAGCAGCGCGACGAGCAGGATCAATATCAGCAGCAGCATCACGTGCACGGGCACGAGAGGCCGCTCCCCTGTTGCCTCCCAGAGACACCACCCGGTCCACCATCTCCCAGTCAACCCTCCCCATCAACACGCGCATCATATCATCATCCCCTCCCCTGCTCATGCCGTCACCCCCTCCCCCCTGCTCCCCTGCATCCACCCCTTCACCTTCCCTGCCTGCATTCGCCCCTCTCCCTCCTTCCCTCCTTCTTCCATCTGCCTCTCTCCAATCTTCCGCTGTCTCTCCTCCTCTTTCTTCCCCTCCCCTCACCAAGCAGGGCAGCACGAGGCAGTAGTGGGATGCGGTCCAGAAGGCGCCAAAGGGGCGCACAGCGGTGCTGATGGGCGTGGGAGGCACGGACGGTGCTGCAGGAGAAGCAGCAGCCGCAGCATGAGCCTCAGCTGCAGCCCCTGCAGCGGCAGATTCAGAAGCAGCGGCAGAAGCGGCAGCGTGGGCGAGGGTGGGAGCATGGTGCATGAGGTCCCATCGGTCCAACGCCATGCCGAACAGACGCATGTGGTAGCACATGGCGCTGGCCAGCTGAGGAGCAGAGGGAGAAGGGGGAGAAGGGGGGGTGCAGGTGGGTGTAGAGCTCATGACGCATTCTGACACCTGCATGAGCTGAACCTGAACCATCTGAATCACCTGAACCATCTGAATCACCTGAACCATCTGAATCACCTGAACCATCTCAATCGCCTGAACCATCTCAATCGCCTGAACCACCTGAATCACCTGAATGGTATGAACACAACTGACCTGCTGAGGCGAGAAAGCGAGGGCTCCAAGTGGAGAGAGTCGGACCGATCCCGAAGCAACTGCAAGGGGTTGCGATGCTGGGTGGTGGAGTAACCCAGGTGAGGGGCCGGCAGAGGGAACACCAGCAGTAAGAGCAGCAGCAGCAGCGCCAGTAGTAGCAGCAGCATCAGCAGCAGCAGCAGTCACGGCAGCAGCAGATCCTGAAGCTGTAGCAGCTAACCCCACATCTGTAACCGTTTGCCTTGCATCTGTAGCAGCAGTGCAAGCTCCGAAATACTTGGAGCAAAGAGGGACTTCCATGTGTGCCACGTCAGCATCAAACGGGCCAATGGCAGGCGACGTCAGCAGCATGAACCCGGAAAAGCACTCTGTGCTGCACGTCCCCTTACTAGCATCTTCACTACCGGAGCTCGAGGAGGAGGAGAAGAAACGGAGAGAATACGCATGGAAGGGACCGATACTGGGACATGCTGGGGTGGTAGATTTGGCTGCTGCTGATGGTTCATCTGCTGCTGCTGCTGCCGATGTCGCTGCAGTTTGTAGTAAATCATTTGCTGACAGTGCTGCTCTTTCTGCTGGAATGGGTACTGCCGGTGACCTGGCTTCTGGCGTTGCACGGTCCGCCATATGTGGAGACAAGATTCACAGAAACGGCGGGTTGAACCTCGCTCGATGACGACGCGGTGAACTCTAGGGACTTTGGAGATCTAGAATATTAGGAAGAATCAGCTCAACCGCAATCTGCATTTTGAGGCGCCTAAAAAAGAAACAGCTCATCCCCAAAGCGCAATTTGCAGCGAAGGCTAACTTATGCTCCGTCTAATCAGCTGCAACGCGTCAGCTGCCGTCGGCGGCCGTGTAGCTTTCCGTGTGTTAGCGTGGCTCATTCGAACTGCGTATCCAATCGCGCGCGAAACAGCGACAATGGCGGACGACAACGATGGAGGTCGAGCGTAGATTTGCATTTCGAAGTGAATAATAATGATGCTGAGGTGAGGTACCTTGGAGCTTGGCTGTTCGGCGATCATCGCCAAACGCCGCCTCATCCTGGTTTCCTTGCTTTCGCGCAGACCAACAGACCAGCGATTGGAGGAGGTACGTTCTGATTGGGTGATTTGCACCAACAAACAAGTCTGTCAGCTGTTTGTTTCCATCGGGATCGGTTTGCACCGGTTTGGGGCAAATACGAAAGGTGCCAGGCGAAGCGCAGTGTGCTGCGCGGAGCGGAATGCACAGTGTCACCTCGCCTCAAGACAACCCAGTTGCACAGAACTATGCTGAAAAGAAAACTAAAGATCCAAAAGCTGTACCTTCTCCCAAGTTATGCTAGTGCAATCTACACATGACACCACCACACATGAAGCACGTGTCTTTCTCCCTCCTCCCTTCCCTCGCGCCTCCCCACTTGCAGCATGGCATTCGAGTTGACTAGAAGTTATCCCGCCTGTGCATGATGCGCATGGGCTCTACCTCTCTCCAGCGTGCTTTTCTCCCTCCACTTCCCTCTCTCCACCCTCTCGCTTCCCTACTTGCAGCACACCATTCGAGTTGACTAGAAGTAATCCCGCCTGTGCATGATGCGCATAGGCACTACCACAAAGGTAGGGCGTGCTTTTCTCCCTCCACTTCTCCCTCGCGCTTCCCCACTTCCTGGAGCTTCCAACCCGCTTGGAAGTTCAGCTGCTGCAAGCCGCCCGTGAATCTGCTTTTGAGGCGCCTCAAAACTCGCTCCTCTCCTCCCCCCTGCTTCCCCACTTCCAGAAGCTTCCAACCCGCTTGGAGAATCAGCTGCTGCAAGCCGCGCGTGAATCTGGTCGCAACTCATGCTCTTTACAGGGAGCTTACTGAGAGGAAGATTCCAGGAAGGCCTGGAAGGATGATTTTTTGAGATCATGCGAGGCGTGAGTGGGGAACCAAGCGGGGAAGCACGGGAAGAGAGCGAAAGTGCAGCAGCAGCTACAGCAGCACCAACAGCAGAAGCACCAGCAGCAGAAGCACCAGCAGCACCAGCAGTAGCAGCAGCAGCACCTGCTGAGGCTGTTGTTCCTTGACTAGCCTCCGCAGGTTCGCCAGCGATCTTATCGAAGATACACCCTGCCGGCCTGCGAATGGCACCTGCAGCCGCAGCAGGCGGAGCAGCAGCAGCACCTGCAGCCGCAGCAGCAGGGGCAGCCGCAGCACCTGCAGCCGCAGCAGCAGGGGCAGCCGCAGCACCTGCAGCCGCAGCAGCAGCAGCAGCAGCAGCACGGAACGTGGAAGTTTGTAGCAAGCTTGAGGTGTCAAGGAACGTGGAAGTTTGGAGCAGGCTTGTGGTGGTGTTCACACCAGAACGGAAGCCAGCAGAGCGGCGAATGTCCGCATGCCACGATGCCCTTCGTCTCATGAACCGGTAACCGCCACCTCCCGGTGATCTAGCCCCCCCTCCTCCCGGTGATTTAGAGGCAGACGGGCTATCCGGGTCAATACTCCAGGACACCCGCTTGCCAGCACTTGGAGAAGCTGCGGTGGTGCTGGCTGATTTGAGGCTGGAGCGGCGACCAGAAGGGGATAGAGTTTTACTGCTGAGAATTCTCAAAAGTGAGTCTGACGATGCTGCAGTGGTGCTGGCTGATTTCAGATTAGAAACGCGAGCAGAGGGGGATAGGGTGCCTGAAAATGACTCATGAACTCTCAAAAGTGAGTCGGACGAAGCTGCAATGGCGCTGGCTGATTTCAGGTTAGAAAGGCGAGCAGAGGGGAAGCCGAATCCGGGAGAAGAAGCAGCAGAGGTAGCAGGTGATTTTAGGCTGGAGCGAGGAGCAGACGGGGACGAGGGAGTGAGAGGGGATTGGGATGAGGGAGAGAGAGGAGCGGATCGAGATGAGGGGGTGACAGGAGGGGATAGAGAAGGAAGGTGTGACTTGAGACTCAGCCCAGAAGGAGAGTGACAGGTGCTGGGAGGAGAGGAATGGGCTGGGTGCGTAAAACGCCCTGCTACGGTTCCTGCTACAGTCTCCGCTACAGTTCCTGCTACCTGTTCTGCCACAGCATGCCCATTCTCAGTAACACCAGAAGCCGTGGCTGTAGCTGCTGCTTCTTCTTCTGCTGCCGCCGCTGCAATTTTATCAGCAGAGACAGCAAGCCGGCCAGCAGACTCAGAGCTGTGATGTCCGTCCTTGTGGTGCTTCACCAGTGAGACAAGGTCGTGAATGTGAAGCCAGTCTCTACTCGAAGCAGAGCCGTGATGGCTGTGGCCGTGCTTGTGAAACAAGTCCTTCAAGTCGTGATGACTGTGGTGCCAGTCCGTGTGGTGTTTCACCATTGAAACAAAGTCGTTAATGTGGAGCCAGTTGTGACTGTGGTGCCCGTCCTTGTGCTTCATTATCGCAGCAGCATCGTGACTGTCTTTGTGACTGTCTTTGTGACTGTCTGTGTGACTGTCTGTGTGACTGTGAAGCCAGTGTTTAAAGTCATGACCGTGATGCCCGTCCGTGTGGTGTTTCACCATTGAAACGAAGTCGTGAATGTGAAGCCAGTCGTGACTGTGATGCCCGTCCTTGTGCTTCGCCATCGAAGCAGCGTCGTCGTGACTGTCCTTGTGACCGTGAAGAAAGTGTTTGAAGTCGTGCTTGTGAAGCCAGTCTTTAAAGTCGTGATGACTGTGGTGCCAGTCCTTGTGGTGCTTCATCATCGAAATGAAGTCGTGAATGTGAAGCCAGTCTGTCATTGAAGCAAAGTCATGGCTGTGGTCGTGCTTTGCAGCTCCACCTTTAACCCCTCCTCCTTCTCCCTTTCCCCTTCCCCCTGCTCCTTTTCCTCCTCCTCCCCTTCCACCCCCTCCTCCTCCTGCATTCCCTCCCATTCTACCAGACACCAACCCCGGAAGCCCATAGCTCTCGGGAGGAGCAATCAGCCTCCACACGCCTGTGTTGCTGAGATTCGATTCAGATCTGCTTGGGCGGATTTGATACGCCGCTGACTTTTGAGTCGACTCAAAAGTCGCCCGACTGGAACCCGCGGCCTTGAACGGTAGCGGAGCGGCCTTAGACGGTAACGAATCTGACTGAGATGAGGATGAAGACGAGGGACGGTCGGAGCTCGAATGCAGAGCAGATGGAGATTGCAAAGGAGAGGAAGAGGGAGACAAAGCAGGAGAGGAAGAGGGGGAAGAAGAGGGAGAGGAAGGAAAGGACCAAGAGGGAACCGGCAGAGCATTGGAGGAGCGGGATGCTCCTCTTGGTTGAACACCTTCAGGGCTGTGGAAAATCCTATCCTGCTGCTCCTCTTGCTGCTGCTGCCGCTGTTTCTCAGGCAGGTGCGAGCCGCAATGGCGTTTTTTGGGCAGGTGCAAACTGTCATGATGTTTCTCAGGCAGGTGAGAGCTGTCATGGTGTTTCTCGGGCAGGTGCGAACTGTCATGATGTTTCTCGGGCAGGTGAGAGCTGCTGTGGTGTTTTTTGAACAGGTGCAAGCCGCCATGGTGTTTCTCGGGCAGATGCGAGCTGTCGTGATCTTTCTCGGGCAGGTGCGAGCTGCCATGGTGTTTCTCGGGCAGGTGAGAGCTGCTGTGGTGTTTCTTGAACAGGTGCAAGCTGCCATGATGTTTCTCGGGCAGATGCGAGCTGTCATGATCATTCTCAGGCAGGTGCGAGCTGCCATGGTGTTTCTCGGGCAGGTGAGAGCTGCTGTGGTGTTTCTTGAACAGGTGCAAGCCGCCATGGTGTTTCTCGGGCAGATGCGAGCTGTCATGATCATTCTCGGGCAGGCGCGAGCTGCTGTGGTGTTTCTTAAACAAGTGCAATCCACCATGGTGCTTCTCGGGCAGGTGCGAGCTGTCATGGTGTCTCTTGAACAGGTGCAACATCCCATGATGTTTCTTG